TCAGACACTGACATCCGTTAAATATTCTGAGAACTTTTTCAATCCACTTGATGACTGACCTTGTTTAGGCTATTTACTCATATTATGTTAAACTGATGGAATCTTAAAAATGTAAAATATCCAGGCAAAGTGCCTTTTGGTGGCTAGTGAGGCATGAAATCAGAGGGTTTTTGGATCTTCTCGTGCTCAGCCACCCAAGAAAAAATGTAAATGGGCTTGAGCAGGTGCAGGAAGGGACAGGTCCTGTTTGGAAACTGACTTTCGTTAACATGCTTTCATTTTTCCCATTTGGTTTATTTTGATTTTAGAGGTCATCTTAATGATTTCTTATTATTCTTTATCGGCGAAATTTAAAAATGAAAAAAGAATAATGCATTGGTTTTTTCTTAGAAAAGAGGATGCGGAACAATTAGTTTGTTATTCTTGTACATTATGACAACTTCGCTTAACTTGGAAATATTATGGGATTCGGTAATGGGTACTCCGTTGTTACTTTCAATTAGAATTCGACATTAATTAATTTCAATTGATTTTTTGGAGCTGACTTCATTCTGCATGGATAAAATACGCGTCATTAGAGAATGTTTTAGTAATCATTTTAAAAGGTGCATGTCGTCATTAATTAATGAGCAAGTAAAAATTTAAGAGTAGTTGAGGCAACCTGATTTGAAACTCTGTAAAATACTAAATGTGAATACTTCTCTTGATACGGATTTAAATTTTGATTCACCATATTATGGGGAATTAGTCTTTCTTACTAAACCCAACCCCTGTTAGTAGTTGAATAGAATTCTATTAACCTGTATAAGTCAAAGTAAGTATGCTTTGAGTAATTTTGTTTGAAGTGCAATTAATTAGTTTTCCCATCAAAATAATTGGACCTATCACTCTCCGAAATCATTTTTATGCTTTGTATCTGTCATGTATTTATCTTGTAAAATAAAAAATTATTTAAAATAAATTAAATTTATACTTTCTATGAAAAATTTAAACTCATAACCCTGCACAAAAAAAAAACTAGGAAATCCTTAAAAAAATACCTCTTAAATTTTATAATCCAAAATCAAGAATTATTATAAAAATGTATCGTTATTTATTTTTTAAGTATAGTAAATTATTATAAAAGTGTTTGGGATTTTAAAATTTAAGAAATATTTTTTTGAATTTTTTTTTTAAAAGATATTTAAGACATTGTTTTTTTTTTTTAAGACATTGTTTGATGCGATTGAGTTGCAAGCCCGAACAATATCAACTGACAAAAAAAAATGGAAACCAAGTAATTGACGGTTAGGCCCACGATGCCATTTGCCGACATCGGGCAAGTTGTTGAGGGCAAAATCGTCCATTACGAGCATACTATATTATTATTCCTGGAATTGCCCTACGCTACTTGTAAAAAGGATAGACCCGGGTTCGGCAGGGAGCAAGGCATCTGGCGTCGGCCTCGCATTAAAATCCTAGGGTTTCTTTCACTTCTCCAGAGAAGAGAATTTTACCAGAGAAAAAGCCATCTTCAAGAATCGAAACCTAGGGTTTTTTCTGCGGCGGAAGCTATGCCGAAGAATAAGGGTAAGGGAGGGAAGAACAGAAAGAGAGGAAAGAACGAAGCCGACGATGAGAAGAGAGAGCTCGTCTTCAAAGAAGACGGCCAAGAGTACGCTCAGGTGCTCCGTATGCTAGGCAACGGCCGGTGCGAGGCCATGTGTATCGACGGCACCAAGCGGCTCTGCCATATCCGTGGCAAGATGCACAAGAAGGTCTGGATCGCTGCCGGTGATATAATTCTCGTCGGCCTCCGGGACTACCAGGACGACAAGGCCGATGTGATCCTCAAGTACATGCCCGATGAGGCTAGGCTGTTGAAGGCTTATGGAGAGTTGCCTGACAACACCAGGCTCAACGAGGGTATTGGTGGTGGATTGGATGAGGAGGATGACGGCACTGGCAACGATTATATTGAGTTTGAGGACGAGGATATTGATAAAATTTAAGCGCTTGGGTTTGGATTGGATTGGGTTTCCGAGTTCGGCGATCACGGTCTCCACAGCTTCCGTTCTAATTGCGCCCCTCCCCCTTCTTCTTCCTTTTAATTGCCATATGATGCTAAATGATCTGTAATATTTGAAGCTCTAGTATGCCTGAGTTTTACATGTTATGACCTTTGCATGGTGAATTAATGCAATAATAGCCTGTTATCTCTTTAGTTTGACTGTTCTGTTGGCAGCTTGGAATTGTTGTATGTTTTAGGTATTCATAATCAAATGATTTCCCTCATTTTGCTGACTATACTGTTCGGTGCGGCGTTTTTCTTTGGATTGATGGATATTCTTCGCAAGGTTGTTTTTCCCGTTGTTGGTTCTCGATCATACTTGTGTTGTGATTTTGTTTGTGAATGATGAGGTGAAGAGTATTTTATAGATGATGGTTCTACTGACAACAAGATTGTAATACTTGATGACAATTTGATTCGGATGTTAGCAAGAGCTAGAATATCTTATTTAAATTGGTATGCTGGGCTTCCCGAATGGGGAAAGAAGTGCATGACTGGTGGTGAAGAAGTTTGGTTGTTGGTTTTCTCTCAATGTTATGTTGAACCTGATGGAAATTACTAACTAGTATGTACTAGTTTTAGGATGCGTCTGAAATCACTTCTACCACCAATTGTGTTTGGTTTGATGTTGAAAATACTAAAATCACCTGAGAGATGAATCATTTATGGTAGTCTAGCGGTTTTCCAGAGTTGCTGATGTATGTTAGATTGGGGAACAAGGTGAATAAATCATTGGGTGGACAGTATAGTCGCTTAGCATTAATTTTCTGGTTGCTTTCTTGACTAGTGGGGCAATATTAGGATGTTGGTTTTGTACATTTAGAAAGAGCACAGCCCCGTACATTTTCTTTCTCCCACCAACTCTACCAGAAATTTGCAGCAAGAAATTTTGAGGATTCAATCAGGGTTAATACAAATTTTGATCTTTCAAATTTGGGTCCGGTTTTATGAAAATATGTCCGTTTCAGACTGTTAGTCCTTAGTATCTTAACACTGTTAGGAATTTTTGACATGACATTAATACCGTTAACTAATGAGGTGGACACATAGGTTGGCTTATATGTGGTATGTGACCTGGACGTGAAATTAAAAAAAAAAAAAAAGAAGGCACTCACGGACACTAGAAGAAAATGATTGTCATTGCCCTCTCTCTCTCTGCACATACAATTTTCAAATCTTCGACAAGCGAAATGGGTGTTAAGAGTTTTATTGAGGGTGTTATCGCGTCCATTGTTGCTGGGTGTCGCACTCATTCGCTTGATCTGATCAAAGTTCGGATGCAGCTTCAGGGCGAGCAAGTCTCTGTTTCTGTTAATTCTCACAACATTCATAATCTTCGTCCTGCTTTTGCCCTTCCCACACAGTCTCCTCCAGTGGATGCTTCTTCCTTACTTGGCATTGCAGCCTGTGGTTCCAAAGCCGGACCCCTATCAATTAGTGTGTACATTCTTCACTTCGAGGGTGCTTCTGCTCTATTTTCCGGTGTCTTAGCCACCATGCTCCACCACACACTATTCCACCACTCGTATGGGTCTTTACGATGTGCTCAAGGAAAAATGGATCGCCCAGATAAGAGGAACTTGCCTATGGGTTTTGCAGTGTCTGTGCGTGTGTTCAGCGTCTGTCATGCGTGTGTTTTGCATTTGATTGTCCATTTCTTTTCTTTTTTGAAAATTTCATGTCCAGGTCATGTGCTGCATAAAAGGCAGCTATGTATCCACCTTATTGGTTAACGGTGTTAATGTCCAGAAGATTTTAGAGGTGTTAAGATACTAGGAACTAACGGTTTTAAATGGACACAATTTCTAGGATCAATACCACACGTTTAAAATTTTAGGAACCAATACCAAATTGGGCTTAAACTTGTATTAACCCATTCAATCTCAAGAATTTGATTGTTAGGGAGTATTTGGTTATCCCAGGAAGTATTTTTTCACCCCAAACATTCTTTTAGTTTGGGAAATCTAGCCTTCAAAGTTAGGGGTACGTGCCTTACGTAAATGTTAACCCCCCGCAGTGGGGTGGGGGGTTTTGGCCCTTCATCTTGTTGGTTGGCTTATGTAAGCGGACTTGATTTCTGGGCAAAAAGAGGAAGGGATTGGATTCCATGATTCATTCCACGCCATTAAAGCAATAGCATTAGCACAGGATATACGGGCATGGCAGAGCTCGATTTTTCATTTAATTCTTGATTGTAGAGGAGGATGGATCATCAGCGTTGAGAATTTGTCGATACAATGTTAATACAAATCTAAAGTGAGTTCTTTTGTTGTGGTAGATGATGTCTTAGCTTCAAGGGGTGAGATTAATGGTTTTAAGTTTCCAAGATCTCATGTTTCTCTTGTATGAGATATGTAAACTATGTAGGAGTATTGAATGAATTATGGACAAAGAAGCCTGAACTAAACTAGATAATGGCTTCTTTTCTTTTTTAGATTACTCCAGCCGAAACTATCGTTTTTACCGTGACAACGTCCCCAGATTCGGGGGCTTGCAAGGATCCATACGGACGGCGCCCCTGGCCCTTGAAGTGCTGCGTTCCCACGTCTCGAACCCGAGATCCGTGGTTAAGTTAGGACGACCTCAGCCAGTCGACCTAACCCCGCGGGGTGAATTTTTTTTTTGGGCCAAACTTGAGCATGAATAATTGAACTTGAAACTTTGTTAAAAACCTCTTTTATTTAATGCTCTCGATATTAATGGAAAATATGGGAATTACATCAAGTTAGTACGAAAAATGTGCACGAGGATTGAGGAATCAGTATTTTTTATAGCGAAGAGCTGGAGTGCTCCTGCAATGTGGATTTTTGGGATAGGGAGTCAACCAATTAGAAACTAGCATTTTTCCACGTGTCGAGAATTGAAATTGGTGCCCCGAATCATATTATGGTAGATGGCTATCCCATCGATAATTTTAATTAAAAAAAAAAAAAAAAAAGAGGAGGAGGAGGAGGAAGTTCTCTACGAGCAACCAAAGGAAGGAAGACCTCAGACGCACAACTATCCAAGTCCGGGCAACCCATCGAGGACTTGAAAGTTAACCATGGCGGCAGCGGCGGCCACCGTCTTAATCGCTCGGATTCCGACCACCAATGCCACCACTGTTACTCGCTGCTCTGCTTTGCCTTATCTTCCTCGTCGCCTCTCCACGCCTTCTTTCTCTACCTCCGTCAAGCAATTTCCAGGTATTGTTCCGATTTTCATGTTTCATTTCATTCACAATTCGGTTGGATGCTATAATAATTGGTAAATCTTTTACTTAATTCTGAAAAACAGTAAGGAACGAATATTCAAATAACTTCGGGCGGAATCATTAAAGTATTCTGGATTCTTTTCTCATTTAAAGAATTTTATAACATAATACTCTTCCGGTCCTTAATATAAGACCCATTTAACTAATTAATTAGATTAGGAAGTTAAGTAAGTTGGTTAATTATAAGAAAAGTGGCACATTTTTCCTAAAACACTATGATTATCTTTCTTAATATCATCTCCTCTTCTATTTGATTATGTTGAGGAGTATCTATGGGGTAATTTAGAGAAAATTGATTATGATAATGGATCTTATATTTAGATAAAAAACAATTCAATAATTGTTCTACGTAAGGATGGATATAATTAACATTGTTCGTGAAAACGGAACGTAGCCCGTCTTCAACTAGTGCGTTCTTTCCATTTACGTGCTAATTATATTTAATGGGATTTCAATTCTCGTATGTGAGGTGATGATCATTTGAGTTTGAGGACAGAGAAATCGATTAATTACAAAAGTAAAAATCGGAAGGTGCTGTCCATCATTCTCCTCATATGACCATCTTCGTGTGGCATTAGAAGGTTCAAATCAATTTCAATCACCTTTTCTGATATGTAAACGAGTTACCGATACCCGTTTTCAGTAGGCTCTGGAGGTCGAAATGTTGAAACTGGTTATTGTTGGCATGAGCTGCTTTAGTTGGCAGCCGCATATGAAGGCTAATCAAGACGGTCACAAGAGTTTCTAAATGGTATAAATTGGATAGGGGAATATTGAACCTACCCCCTGTTTCTCCGAGCTCAATATGTTTATTGAGCTCAATCCCATTTTATTTGTTTTTTTCCTACAGGCTATATTTGGTATCCTTGCTTTGTTTCTATATATTTGAATATGACACTTAAACCAAGATATTATGTATTTGGTACTGTGTCATCACAATTCTGATGGATAAAATAAAATCTTCCGACTCAAATTAATCTCTTATATCCTCCTTTCCTTCTTAATCTCTTTGTTTCTATATTGTTCTTTTTAGCAAGTGAAGAGTTCTATATTGTTATTTTAAGAACTAACTCTCTCATCTCATCTTTTGTTTCTGGCTACCTTCTCTTCCGAAGTTCCTTTCTCTTTCTTCACTCATAATACATTTTACTTGGCATAATATATACAACATATACATTGATCACAGCCTTCTTATCCTCCTCACTGGATTCTCTAGAATAATGAACCCATGAAATTCCAAGTAGTTGGAAAGATATGATGTCTACTTATCAAACAATTCAACAAGTTTTAATTTTTCTTCTTGCTTCCGGTCTTTCAGAGTACCGGAAGTCTTTGTTTCAAACCAGAGCTTCTTCTTCAGAGGAAACATCTAGTTCGGATCCGAGTGAATTGTTCACGGATTTGAAGCAAAAGGCAAGAAGTTTATGATTTGGCTAATCGCAACATTCTTATTTTGTCCTGAATCTTCTTTTTGGCAAATCTCATCCTAACTCCGGCAGCTTTTGTCTTGTAATCAAGTGGGACTTATATCCTCTGTTTATTATTATCAGTGGGATGCTCTTGAAAACAAATCTACAGTACTTCTTTACGGAGGTGGGGCTATTGTTGCTGTTTGGCTATCAGCAACTCTTGTGGGTGCCATCAACTCACTTCCCTTGGTAAGCCATTATTCTTGTTAAATAAACTTTTAGTTTAATCAGAAGAGGTTCTTACATAGATTTTTTGCTGCTAAAAAAAAAGAAAGAAAGAAAGAAGGAAAGAATAGTAGACCCAGCCAATCAAAAATAAACAGATAGGCATAAGTTAGAAGTGCTCCTGTCTCTGAAGTGTTTATTTATGTGTTTTCATGCTTATTAACAACTGATTTGGCCCTTTCATTTTGTAGATCAGTTGTACCCAAAAGTTTGTCCCCGATTGGTTGCTTTTTAGTCAACCAACTGACATGCTTTTGTTCTTTATGCTTCCAGAAGTTTTGTGAACTCATCTGAAATATTTCATTTATGTTTCAGCTTCCAAAAATCATGGAGTTGGTAGGGTTAGGTTACACTGGATGGTTTGTCTACCGCTACCTTCTATTTAAGGTAGGTAAAGTGCCCGATGGAGACACTACTGCTTTGGAATCATACGCATTTTGTTTTCTGCAAAATATATTCGTGAAACTGCATTGATCTGGATACTGATTCTTTTTGTTTTCATAAATGACCAATTGAAGACAAATGATAACATTAAAATAATCAAGGACAAAAAAAAGGTGAAAGTTCTTAGGAATTTGCCATCACTTATCAGGCTCTTCTATAGTAGGGCAGCACATGAATATTCTTTATAGCTTAATGTTGTATGATTGATTTTTTTTTAAGTCCTTCTGCACATCACACTTCTATTTGAGATCTGGTAACAAATAATTAAGTTTTCTCCAATTATCGATGGCTATTTCAGTCAAAATGATGAAGGATTTATTCTTCTGCGCATTGGATCTAGCTATTATCTTCTATTTCTGCAATCAGAATTCCTATCTTTTAGGCTAATCATGTGAACCCTAGGCAAGTTTATTTTTGCTAGAAAAAAGATCTTATAAATAATATAATTTTCCTTCTCCATGCAGTCTAGCAGAAAGGAATTAGCTACCGACATCGAGGACATCAAGAAGAAAATCGCTGGAACTGAATAGAAGTGTTATAGTGAGTGGGAAGCAAAGATGTTCTTTGATGACTATCTGTTTTTGTCTGCTTTAAGAGGCGTCTGTATCTTCGGTGTTAGAATAGAATTCCTCTCAACCTCTTATCACTCTTGTATCAAGCTGACTTATTCTTGAAATGTCTAGCAACTTTTAATAGTGCGGTTGTGGGTGGAAACCATGATTGGTTGTTCCATAGTGACTGAAGGGTTAACTCTGCTTATGGCAATAAGAGAACTCTGACATGCTGTCCTTTTTTTAAAAAAAAAATTGTGTGCTGTCGGCAAAATATGCACATTGGTTAGGAGATACAAAATAACTGGATAGGAAATAAGATATTTCCTAGAGTTCTAAATGTAAGAGTCATTTGAAGTGTTTATTTTGATCCTAAATATATATCATTTAGATTGTCTTTCAAATTTATAATTTTTTAAGAAAATCCTATTGATTATGCATATTGAAAGGAGCTTTTCATCCACTACAAATAATTAAAAAGAAGAAAGTATAATTTAGCATGCGCAGCCTGTTTCTAAGAAACAATAGATGACAGACATCAGATAATACACCTTGCAAGCACCAGCCTAACCTATTTGGAGATAGAATAGGTTTGAGAAAATTTTGGCCCATTAAAAATCTTGCTCGAGTCCTAGAGCTAATGCTGTGGCAGCTAGGTAACAGGAAACTAGCAAAAAGTGCTTGCTTAATCGTGT